TATATACACATACATACATATATATATACATATATATATACATATATATATATATATATGTGTATATACACATACATACATACATACATACATACATATACATATATATATATATATATATATATATGTGTATATACACACACACACATATATATACATATATACATATATGTGTATATACACATATATATATATATATACACACATATATATACATACATATATACATACATATTTTTGGTCCAATGAAGGAATTTAAAGTGATTACAAGGACATCGTTTTCTCTTAATCGTTCATGGTGTGAACGTGCTGATTATCACCAGGTGCAAACCTGAATCAGAGTTGATGATTAATAACCGTGTTAAGGTTTAGTGATATGATGATCTATCTATTTAAGATCTAGGCCATAGTGTTTACGTCGTGGTATTTTCCTTTAATATATTTGGCTGCATTATGGTTGTATTTTCATATATTTCTGCATCAAAGCAATTAAGTAGCATACATTCTCAAATACTATCTGAGGCCTGCGTTTATCTGCAGAAGCTTTTTATTTGAGACAGAAAACAAGAGTTATGTCATACTCAACACTCTGCTGTTGCTTTATTGTTTTAAATACTAATACTTTCATTCACTTATTATTTCCAATTAATTCGACTCCACACAAAGAAAAAATCCCATTAAAAGCCTTCCAGCAGCTCAGAGGGAATACTCCATTTTCTAGCAAACTTTTAATGTGAAACAGAACATCTGAGGACAGGAAGTGCTGTGTTCCATTGACTGTAGCTTAGCAGTGGCTTAAAGGGGAATAACCCGAAAGCAGTAAAGAAAAAGTAATTGGAAAGAATGAGTAAAATAAAAGAGTTATTGATGTATATCAACAGTGACATCTAATACTTATTAAATTGCATTTATCATTTCAAGTGAATGTTTTATCTACGGCTTCCACTTTAGTCGCCGTGTGTGGCCAATAATGGATTACTCCCTCTTCAATGATCACATTTCTACAGTTTGGTGTGATATGCCACACACACACACACACACACACACACACACACACACAGCTACAGGGAGCGTACAGTAAACCCACACAAACTGATGATAGCTTACTGTACAGGTGCATTTATATTCACAGGCAAACACCATGAACATCTATCATCTACACACTGCAGTGACTTAGATAAAACTACAGCTCCCACAATCCCAACACAGATCTACTGTAGCACATCCTAGTCATCTGTACTTACATCCGCCTGCCACCAGTCTTTACCTCTGTATGGTCTATGTGACAAAGAGTGTTCTTCCTGTTTGCTTTACAGCAGCGGTTTGGATGGAGCACAGTTCAATGTTGCATGATGAGCCATCTTAAAACATGTCTGTTTGTTCAGTGCAAAGGAAACTTGAGTGTGTATACTGAATTTACAGCTTCAGTCGACCACTTATGGCCATAATGACAAACTGCTGGTAAGTCTCGTCTGACAGCGTTTATGTATCTGACTGATGACTCAAAAAGCTGACCGCTCTGCTCTGTAGCTGAATCCTGGAGGTCTAGATTCAGACATTTAAAAGCTGATCTGCTTTTAACAAAGATAGAACACAGAACTGCCGGCTGCTACCGGTCTGAGACTTGGTCTTTTTGAACAGAAAGAAGACAGAATCCATCAAAACGATACATATATAAAACGTTTATAGCCCAGTGTATATGACATATAGTTTAACTTAGTCCAATAGAGAGATCTTGTTGTTTCATCAACCTAAGTTATGTACATCCGACTACATCCGCCAGCCACAGTTTTCATTTTAGCCGGTGAAATTAAAAAGCATTAGTGGTACATACACGTCTTTTGGCCATGCGGTGAACCAGTACTTTTGAAAAGCAGTGCTCAACAGAAAGGGTTGCCACTGGCAGCCATTTTCAATAATTGGCAACCAACGCCTGTCCTTCGATTGCCATCAGCAGCAACTGCATATTAACATACAAAGTATAGGGATGACGATAGCTACCGTGCTTTGGGATACCCAGTACCGAACCGCTACCAGTGTTTAACTAATAAGCTGTATGCCTCACTGTGTAAGAGAGACTGGGATTATTATTTTATGTGTGAGGCAACATTAGACCTGCTTTCTTAACTTTGTAAAATATAATGTACAAAATACATATATAAATTTACTGAATTGTTATTAAAATAATAAATTGTACACCTGTAACTTCGTGAAAAATGTTTAACAATTAACAGGAATTACAATTCCAGTGTATAATGTACGTAATACAATGTAGAATTGAACTGAAACAATTGGCTCTATTGTCTCCGATACCCGATCCAGCTATTTAGGTATCGGCCCGATATTTGTATCGGTGCATCTCTAAGAAAAAAGTCCTACGTGCTATGAATAGATTTTTAATATTTGTTGCATTATTGATATTTATATATTGCCGTTACAATCAGAGCCAGAGCACTCTGCATGTGACAACGCTGCTCGTGCGTTTTAAAGGTGCGTTAACTTGGGTGTGTTTTAGAGGCAAAAGCAAATAAAGTTGTTTGACTGCGGGGTGAGAAGTTTGACTAACCCGGCAACATCTCAAACAAATGTGTACATTGAATACACTGACAAAAGAACCAGATGAATCTAAATAAAAAATACATCTTGAAAAAGGAAATTTGTTAAGTCTTGGGAGGCATCTTTGACCTGGACAGAATATTGTACTGAAAAGTGTGTACAACATACACATGACATGTATACATTGAACAGTAATTACACAAAATGGCAACTGTATTTTCAGTTTCGGCATCCACAAGAACAATGATTTAAAGGAAAATAGGACAAAATACTCAACAAATAAAATAGCTACAGTACATTCTAACCTATTAATAAACACATTGCTCTATATTCAAGCAGACAGGTTGTAACAGTCATCTAACTGTCACCTCCATAGCTAAAAGCTCGGACCTGAACTCATTACCTGCGACGAGGAAGAAATGGAAATTATTCAAACCTTTAAATTATCAGTGTGTGATGCTCAATTTTAACATTGCCGAATGTCATTTAGATACAGCTAACATTACACGGGCCATACGCCAATTAAAAACCGTAAATATGTTAGAAAGTAAAGACTATTTCCCACCTTATGCTGTGTTAGGGCCTGTTAGCTTGCAGGCTACGCCGACAGGAGCCAGGTGAAGGTAACGTAGGTGGACACTTCCTGAAACCGTACACCTTGCTAGCATTAGCTTAGCACCTAGCTCTTGCACTCTCTTTCAAGCGAAGGTGAGGCAGTAACTTACCATTACGTTATGAGTATTTAAAAATATTGAGACGCGGACTAACGTCTACGCTGCCTGGTCCACGTATGCGAATACACCGCAGTTAACGTTGACAGTGCATGTCTATGTCAGATACCGTACTATAGGTAAGAGAAGTTGAGCTGGACCCATTCCCTTCTACACCGAGCAGTCCCGCCTCTGGTGAGCATGCGCAGTCTGACGAGAGTTTTTATGCCCCGAGTATCGCTTTTCAGGTAACAACTCGGCTTGATGCGAAGAAGGCTTTTCTGACAATTTGCCCTATTACAATCTCTTCAATTTATACTTTAACTGTTTTTTTTACATTTTCATATTTCCTGACATTTGTTACTCCATATTTAGTAGTTGAACCTGAATGCACCTGAATCATACTAATGAAGGCCTGGTTGAGTCCTGACTTTTGGCTATTTGAACACAAGAGGTCAGCGTGGACATTACATTACAGTACAGTCATTTAGCAGAGGCTTTTATCCAAAGCGACTTACAATTCAGAGTCTATCACATTTCTACACCGTAGGCACAGCTACAGGAGCAATTTTGGGGTTAAGTGTCTTGCTCAAGGACACATCGACATGCGACTAGCAAAGCCGGAGCTTGAACCGCTGACCCTCTGATTGAAAGACGGCCCTGCTATCCACTTAGCCACAGTCGCCCCACCTCCAAAACATCTCAACGCCACAGTAATTACAGACACCAGCTTTGTAAAAACATAGTATTTTAATAAATATAAATATGGCAAAATACAAATGTATCTCAGCAACAAATAGGCAATAACAAAAATAGATATTAGAAATAACATAGAAAAAATAGATAAAAAATACATCTTTTTTTGGGAACTTATGCAGTGCATTGGTGTCTGTTATGTCAGACGAAAGTAAACTACTTAATCATTTAACTTTCCTTCATATGTCTTTCTGTCTTGTCAACCACAAACATTCAGAGAAATAAATTAACGGCAAACAAACTCTCAGTCAATCATGTTTCCATTGTCGGTCGTGTTTGATCTGTGTCCCCTTGACTTCTTGTGTTAAGCACGTTTTAAATAAAGCTGTCAGTGAATTAGTCTGTATAGACAAAAGAAGTCATAACCCTGTACAGCGGGTCTGTTGTGGTCATCATGTGTGTGGTCATCATGTGTGTGATCATCATGTGGAGCATGAGCAGCAGTAGTCAGACACAGTGGAGCGGAGTCTTCACAGTGGGTTACTGTTGAGGCTGGTTGAACTGACCCATGAACAGAACAGCACCTGGACACAGGAAGTAGAACATTAGACACACCACACACTCTGCCCACAGACTGCCCGGCTGAGTTGGCGTTCTAAAATGGGATTTCAAAATAAAATGTAACAGGAGTGTTACCTGTTTGTTTGTGCTGGATGAGGAAGAGGAAGGGCCGGTCCAGAGTAATCTCCTCGACTGCCATACGAGAAAACATCACGGCAGCTAACCCAAGGAATTCGTTCAGAGGGAAGGAACGAAAAACCGGTCAGTTTGTTATAACTTGATTAAACACAAAACATATTGTCTAATATGTGCCATATGTGCATAATATTATCTGAAATAATAGAAGTCATAAGACCATATTTTGACACAGTGCCCTTTACAAGACAGGGCCACCAATTAGTAGTCATCACCACCTTAAGATCTTTATCATTTGCCATTATTGGGTATCTGCTCAGACCAGCACCAAGCATTACTAGACGCCCTACCACTGAAAAAGGGAACTCCTGCATTACTTTCACTTTCTAGATCCGGAGATTACCACCTGCTTATATACATACAGTATATTTTTATCCTTTAATAGGAGACCTAATGTGTGCCATAAAAATAAATCCAATCCCTCTGCATTACCCATGGAACTCTAAAACTCTAAAATTCCCCAGTGTGTGTGTGTGTGTGTGTGTGAGATTCAATATTGGGCCCACCTGTTGCTGCTGCTCCCTTGGTTCCCTGCTCATTCACCTCGATCTTCACTCTCTGCAGAACCTTCGACACACACAGCCTCTCGTCAGCTGGAGGGCAGAAACACATAGAGGTTGGTTACATTTCATCTGAAGTCACTGTACTCTCTGTTGTAGTAAAGTCCCTGACTAACTAACTACCTAACATGGTCTTCCTACTGGAATAGAAGGTTAACTCACTGGTGATGCGTGTGAAGTCAGCAGTAGCGAGGTTGAACATGTCTCCCAGACCCATGTTAAGCAGAGCAGCCTTCAAATTCACCTCAGAGTTCAGAGTAAACCTGCGAAAAACACAGACAAACCCTCAGTATTCATCCTGGTTGCCGGTCCATTAGAAGAGTATTTTTAAAATCAGTTTATGTAACAGCCCACATAGTGTCTGACTCTTTCTCACCTGGGCATGGCCAGCTGCCGCTTGACATTCCTCAGCTCCGTTTTCCACTGCTTAATCCTCTGGCTGCTCAAATCGGTGCTGAGCGTGCTCAGTGGAACCTCAGGCTCAAATGGCGACACCAGGAGCATGCTCAGTGAGTTGCCCTCGTACGGGACCTCAATGACATCATAGTCCACCCCGTCGGCAGTCACGAACTCGCCTGTTGATTCAGGAGAGTGAGATCGATGTAAGTTTGTAAGCAGCGCACAGTTGTAGCAGTTGGTGAGTCATCATCCGTGTTCAGATCCTGGGTCAGCGTGTTGGACCTACCATAGTTGTAGTGGTTGGTGAGTCTCATCATGTGCACGGGCACGTTGCTGCCGTTGGCGCAGTGGAACATCCTCTCCTCGGTCAGTTTGGGGTCAAAGGGGACCTTCCAGAGGCCCTGGAAGTGGAGGGCATTGAGAAGGACCAGACGGGTCTCATCAGTCAGAGATCCAGATGCAAGGAACTCAGGGATGGCACCTGCAGACAAAAAGACACCAAAGAAGTCACGACGGATTCAAAACGTGTATAAGCAACAAAAGTAGGCCACTGGGAACAAAATTGGAGAGGAATCCTGCAGATGTTAAGCAGCTGGTACCTGCAGTGTGGTCTGAGACCCATGAGTTGATGATGCTGACTGCCTGGTCTGGCTTGTTAAAGTCCACCTGGTTGGGGTGGGACTGGAAGGCCTTGGCCAGGGCTCGGCGGTACCCCTTCTCCAGGCTCATCTTTCTCTCTACCATGACCCCGCTGGCTGTCTCCACCCCGTCCTCACTGGACAGGTCCCGCTGCAGGAGGCGCTGCTGCCGAGACATCCCTCGCTCTGCAGGAGAGGGTTGATGGTTATGCCAACGATACATAATTATACAATCAAATGTGTTTCTTTTGTTGTTTGTTGTTGCATTAATCCCTTTTTCCTGAAAGAACCCTGAATATTGAATGTATGCACCACCCACCTTGCAGAGAAAAGCCCATGGCAGCAGTTAAAGCCCTGCGGGTGTTTCCAGCAGCGCCGAGCTGAGCCATGGCCAGGACAGAGGACACGCCGTGCGGGGACAAGACCACGTTCTTGTCCACAGAGTCCCGGGCCAGCTGCGAGAAGACCTTCAGGCCAAAGTCAGTCTGTTTGTCCTGCAGAGAGCCGAGCGCCGCTCCGCTCAGAGTCAGCAACAGGAAGGTGTACACACAAAGCATCTTGGGAAAGAAAGAAGAGAACAGGTGTAAGTTTGAATACGCACACTTGAGTTCAACGCCTAAAGGTAGAACCTTCTTTTGTTTCCTTAATATTTCTAAACAGCTCTTTCTCAAACAACTTGTACCGTATTCATGTACAATAAATGTGTTTTAGAAACTATGCACCGCACATTTGTTTGTGAGTGCATTGTTTCTGTATCCTATTAAGGAGGAACAGAAAGTATGTTGGATAGCAGAGTCACCTGCAGAGAGACTCTAAACAGCTGGTAGATGTTTTCAATCAAACTTTAGGGGAATAATTCCACATCAGTAGCCAGAGAAATTTCCGCATTTTTAGTTTTTTTGGAAATTCCCACAATAACAATTATATTGTTGCACTACTAGAAAAGAAAAACATGTAATCACATTTAACCCTTCAGATAAACATTCGGTCTACATCTGCCGGGTCTTACTATAAGTGAGCCTCACATTTAAAACATACAACTTTAAACTGTTGAAGTAACCATTTCAATTTGTCCAAGGCCAAAATGCTGTCGTCAACCCTGCAACAATTTGTATTACGTGTGTGTGTGTCTCATGGTGGATGTGTGTGCATTCACATCAGTGTGTCAACTGGAAAGTCTGTGTGTGTCAGTAACATTGGTTTTCCACTGCAGACATCAATAGTGAATACTGTGACTACAGCAGCGTTGCATACTGTGGCCGCTGAGGTCACAGGTCGGCCTCTGTTTGCACAGGACACCACTTCCAGCTCAAAAACTGTTGACTTGAGGGGAGGCAGGCCAGGGGAATAGGATAAAGATTTTAACTAATAGATATCACCATGGGACTTCCCCTGTTGATTTTTTTACATTGAGACTTTTTGTTTTCATTACAAATCTTCTGAAAATGTTTAAATATTCGCTTATTATCATTATCAGAACAGAAATGTGAACATTGGATAAAGCCAGGTTCAAAATTCTTGTTTGATTTTGTTGACATATTAGAGTCAAAGGTTTTTATAGAGGGAGTTGGATATCTCTTTGTATCACTCCATAAATCAGAAAATACTGTCAACAGCCATAAGAGAAAATCAATCTCCTCCATGTTTTTAGGAATAAGAATGTTGTATATATCAGGCTATGAATGATATATGAACAACCCCTTAGTAGAAACCTTCAGAATATAGAGAGGAATGAAACTGTAAAGTTTGGTGTATGTAAGAGCTGCTGAAGTGGAGATTTCTGTCTCAGAGGGAGATAAAACTCATTTAGAGAGAACGGCCTTTAGATGTTTTGTAAAATGACATTTCATTTTATCACCATGAAAGTTCCTCAGTTTTCTAAAATGCTATGTTTGATATGCGGCATTATCTAATGATAGCTTTTGGGGAATTTAGGAGAAATCTAAAGACACAAATAGTCAAAGTAGTAAAATAAACAAGTTAAATAGCCTAAAAGTGACCAGTGTATGAAAAACAATGTTACTTTCCACCACTGCTAGAATTAAACCTGCTAATAAATAAATACATCAGTCATGTGGAAGGCTGATAGTGATTTTAGTATTATAGAGTTATTGCACCCTAATATGAAAAAAAACTGTATTTTTTTTAATTGTATAAATCCAACTTCAAAAGCTGTAAATGTTTAGTCCAGTTGTAGTTCTTCTTACCTTGTGGTTGAAATGTGTCAGGTGTAGTTCAGCAAGTCTGTGTTGTTTCAGCTTCTGTCTGCTCCAGCTGCTTGAGTCTGAATGACTGCAAGACTTTCTCTCTCTTTATAGGGTAGAGAATCCCCCCCCCTCTCCGCCCGCCTCCTCGCACACATACAGAAGTCATTAGAGAGAATGATGTCATCTGACGCCGTCTGGACAGGCTTCCTTTTCATGAACACACGCATCCACTCTCCCTCCGTCTCACTGTCTTCTCCGTCTGCCTGCTTCTGGTGCCCCGAAGCGTGACGGAGCATATGGAAAGTCATTTAGCTGTTTTCCCTGTCTCACTCAAACACACACACACACACACACACACACACACACACACACACACACACATCACTTTGGCATGTTTCCCCTGAAGAAGATCAGCCAGGCAATGGGTGTCATGTTCCCTTATGTTTGATTTTGTCATGAATAGAAGTATCTTGTGATCTTGATCATTAGTTGGGATTCCAATGTTTGCCTCAAGTTCATTTGAATTATCTAATGGTGATAGTGAAAATATACACTGCAGTTTGCCACATTATTGTGCAAAGGACAACAATCAAAACCTGTCCAGATAGTTCTGGATTTAGATCACAAATCATGCCAATTTTAGAAAATGTTATTTGTTAAATTTGTTGCATGGCTGTGTTTTTATACATTCGACAATATTGACTTTTTCTGTGGAATGAAAAAAGGGGTTTGAAGAAAAAAGTAAGGCCACAAACAAAGTATTAGTTTGCTATTGGTATTAAAACTTTGATATCTCGTCTAGTAATGAAAATGTGCAAATCTAAAGCAACTTCTGTTGTTTGTTTTCAGCTGATTCAGTTCAGCTGAGCTCAGCTAACTTGTGCAAGTCCTGAGTGGGTACTATGAACCAGTACCCAGTAGTACTGGTCGGGGGGGTACAACTACTCAGGCATCATGTCATTGAATTTATCGTCACTGATTGATATTAAGACAAATCATCTGAAACCAGTTCTTTGAAGGTATCAGGATACTCAGCACAGTCTGATCTGATGTTATTTGTTTCTTACGGAACACGGATGCTTCCATCTGGACTTTAACGTTAGTTTATCTTTTCATGCAGTCACTCTCTGGACTCTCACTTAGGGGGTGACACATCAAAACACCAAATTTGGTCGTGGCTTCCAACATTCCTCATCCCGCTACTCGCCAAGCATCTGGTAGACATACAGAGAACAGGAATCAACACACTGTTTCCAAATCTATCTGGAATGAGAGCAACAAAAAAACCTAATTGAAGCCACTTTTTCTCGTAGAAGTTAAAAAGCAAAGCCAATAAGTCCTCTGCGGGTCTGACACAACATGGATGCGTCAGCTATGGAGTGCTTGATGTCTAATTTTTGGGGTTTTCCATCAATGAAAGAAGGGCAAACTAATGTATCCAGAAGGTGTTTAGGCATGGCAAATACTAAGCCATAAGAGTAGTAAAAGAGGCAGGGACAACCACATTACAAGCAAACATGTTTGCTTACTTCTCTCTAGTGGTACAGCATCTAATGATGCAAACCGTTTCTGGGTTTTATTTGTCCAGAGATATCTGTCGCGATTACTTATTTATGCAACATCTGCGCTCGGCAGTTATGGTCATTGAAGTGCAAGGGAAAGATTGTGGTTGTGTTTTCTTTTGTGTTTTTTAAAGAAACACATTGTTAGATTGAGAGGGAACCTCCACACCCTTCTAATATAATACTTCTTACATTCGCACTGAACGTAAAGGTAAATCTTGAAGAATCGGTCAATATGGACGGAAATGTAATTCTGGATTGGATGGAGCATTGTAGGATATCTTGCTTTTGTCATTCACTGTCCGTACTTATACCTACAAAAAGTAATGCACTGCAAGTCATACGTCCCTTGATATTGTGAGCCGGGACGTGTAGGTTTGCCACTAAGGAAGTCAGGTTACGTGGTATAAGGAGCGACAGGAAGAGGAGGTTGTGCCATCCTCCACAACCTCCTCTTCCTCAAAGTGCTTTCACCCAGGAGACTGCTGTGGGATGGTTTTGGAATGATGCTGACAATTGGAGAAGAATTAGATATAAATATCATGTTTTTCACAAATAATGTGCAGTTTGTTAGGCTTTTTATACCTCAAACGGCTTGGAATATAACTGCTGAAATGGGGGCAAAAACAATCTCCCAGACTCCCGCCAAAGGTTTGGGCTGAGCCTCGAATGTCTACAAATGTCACCAAAGAAAAGGACAAACCCAGACTATAAACTGAGATGACAAGGTTTAGGAACTAGACTGCCCTGATGTCATTGTCCTCTGCCTTTTATCTTTCTTCATGCCAAGACAGCTATGTATGTGAGGGACATTTATGGGCCCATTTACACTGTCTTGTATGAAAGACGGGCGGATTTAGTTCTCTGTTAGTTCTGTGTCTTAGGGTTGTTGCACTTTAATTGCCTTGTTAAATCAAAGTTTACAGCTACTTTACTATCGTACCTAAAGAGCTGCAGTTACCACCAAATCATTTTGAAAAAATCTGAGCGCGTGAGCAAACACAACCACCCAAACGAGAGAAAAATAGCTGTGAGCGACGGGCCCATACAGCCTCATGAGTCATTCAAAGAGACCTTTGTTTCACCACTGTTGTTACTGCCCATGTTTGTTTAGACAGTGTTGCCAAAAATACACAGAATGCATCAGCACATCTCTGTACTTTGACTTGGTATAACCCACACAACCCCTGGGGATGTGGTTCATTCCATATACGGCTGTGAATGGAAATTTGTCGTGTGCCACCCACCCAGTTCTCTGTGGGGGCTTCAGGAACATGGGAATCAACTGTTACCAACACAACACACAACATCACAAACACAGACTTAGTAGTCATTAAATCTCAAAGGGGTGAACTACTAGTTGTTACTTGACTAGTGAAACATATGAGGGCAATCGATAAAAACAAAAGAGAAATAAGAACTACCTTCACATATGCAGTTTTTTGGCACTTTGAGACTTTATTAATGCTTATTATATATAATTAATTCCTTATATATCAGGTGTAAGTTATTGCTGTGGAGAATATTGGATAACAACGCAAAGTAACAGCGCAACATAACAGCGCAACGTCACAGCAGAACTTAACAGCATAAGTATAAGTAAATAATCTTTAGCAGACCTTCTTATGTTACGTTGTGATGCAAACGTAGAAAGGTTGTATAACAAATGTGGTTTCACATGGGACTCGAACAGCGATTTTCTGGGTAAAAGTCATATAATTCTTCGTCATATACCGCTCAATACCGAGGAACTTTCCATAACGGTCACTCCATGTACTACATCACTTGCTTTGCGTTGCTCGTTGTAATACCTCACTTGCTTTGACCGGATGCAAAAACAACCACATTCAACATATCCGTAGTATGCACAAATGTACAATGCTAACAGTTTTTCCTTGCATCCACTCACTATATTTAACTCTAATGTTAACATTTTTGTGGACTGATTTGACAGGAAGAGAAAACACCATGTAACCACAGCCACAGAGTTAGCTGTTGTCATAGAGGCTTCAATGAAATGTGCTGAAGTAAAAGTTCCCTCACATAATAGGGAAACCTCTTGCGAAAACCTTTTCATGAAGCAACTGTGTTTTTTTAAACTATTTTTGTGTTGTAAAGTTCTTTACGGTAAAATGACAGCTACCCATGTATGTTGCAGAGGAAACAATTTGAAGAAACAAGGAAAGGGCAGTGATCACATGATGTGAGTAAGAGGAGAGGGAATCCCCTGTTCCACTAGCTGACCTTTTGACCTTAAGGTTTTGACTAACTGGCACTGAACAGGATGACATTGTGGATTTGAGTGTTTGTGTTTGCTTTTGAGTTCTTCAACCATGAGGATATGCCTGAAAAAACACACTAAAAATAAACCCTAAAACAGAAGAAGAGACTTAACATGAGACAGTGTGTCATCAGGCCGGTCTGAACCGGTGAGCTTTGATTTATATCAGGAATAAGATTTTGCATTGCTGCAGTCTATTCTTGCAAACCATGCAAACCATGTCGCACTTTACAAATAACACGGAAACAACATCAGACAAAAACTGCAGAGTCTGACGCAGTCACAAGTTTCTTGGTCATTTGGATGGATATTCATCAGTAAGCTGCAGCTTCATGGTTGTTTGCAAAAAAAATAATATTAGTCAGCTATAAGAGATTACTGCAATGCAAGATCTAGGAGCTGATTCAAATCAGAACTCACCAGTTCAGACTGGACTGATGACACACTTGTCACATGTTGTCATTTTTCTGTTTCGGAGTATATTTTCAGTGTGTTACTTTCAGGTTATCCTAATGGATTCCCTCCCCTTCTACTTATCATATATTCTCTACAGTGGTGATAGATACATACATGTATAAGGGATGTTGTCATACAGTTAAGTGTGGAAACGTCATGTACAGTAAATATAGAGAATGTTGAAAGGCAAAAAAGTTAAACTTTGAAATATAGTGAAATATAGTCATAGTAGAATTGAATGTAGATACTTGTCCAGCAAGAGTAGCTGGAAAGTGGATGATGGTGGATTATTGAATTATGATTGAAAAACATATTCATACATGTAATTACAAAAAACTAACATTTTAGAGCCTTTGAAAATATGTTTTTTAATCTATAAAACTATTAGAAATATGAATTATTTATCGATAATATAGTGAGACCAAATTAGCGACTCACTATGGTTTATCTATTGATAATTCTATAACTTCTATAACTTCTTTAGAAATAGCTTTTGTGTTGATCTTTGTGGTCCATGTGGACGGAAGCAGAAGTGTTTCTAAGCATCAGATTCCCTTTGAAAAACTTCTCAGTTTACTGCAACAGGGTGTGACAGTCTGACCAGCATGGTCCTGGTTCTGACTCTCCTGGGCCTCCAGCAGCGGGGCGACGGTGTTGGCTCCCAGCAGGGATGGGCGGATAAGCAGGGGAAAGCACTGCTCCTGGAGCTAGAGGATCACCAAAGTCATTAGGATTCATCCTCTGAGGAACATGAATGTATGT